TTAAATTTCATTTTTTTTTTATTTATTTATTTAAAAAAGGAAATTATTAGAAAAAAGAATTTGGAGAAAAGAATGGTAAGAAATTGAATGAAATAACGAGAAATAAATCGAAAAGCAAAATATCGTTCGATATACTTACGAAAATTTCTCACAGCATCTGTGAAGGGACAAGACAGAAATTATCTCTGTACAAACGATCCTGACGGAGTTTCCGTTCGGTTTGTATCGAAATTCTCGGATCCTTGTTACCACTACGACTGTTATTTAGACACTAAAGGCCGCTACAGGGAACGTGTCAAAATTATAGAAGAGATCTATTCTCGAAATGTACACAGTGTGTCTATTATTAATGTTTCGGTTGTAGATCAATAGGCAGATTTCAGTTTACGATCCTATTTACGTGTTGAACTTCATTCGAACTTCAAATTTCAAATATACATATGATACATTAATACACGCTAACTTTACACAAATTTCTTTTCAATTTTAAATAAAATTATTGTAAAATTGTTTAACGTGCAAGTAAGAATTTTAAGAAATTATTGCAAATTTCTAACTGATCGTTTGCCTACTTCAGTAATTTAGAACAAGAGTCTATCATTTAGAATAAAGAATTTTAAGAAATACTTCGTAACTTGTACGGGGAAATTATTATAAATTCCTAACCGATTGTTCGCCTGCTTAAATCGTAAGAAATGTACACAAACAGTTTGTCATCCTGCTGTACGTTGCTTTAAAGTTCAAATTTACTCGACCTTTGCGAAATTACCTGGAAACGTACCGTGATCATACCGACGGCTATGAAATTACTCCAATGATTAAGCCGTTCTTTCTATCGTTATTACTGTATCTATGAAAATAAATAAAAATGTCAAGTTCCTAGCAATATAGTCCTTTTCCGTCTTGATATCCCCTCTTGTACAAAGAATAATTCCAAAAAAAGAGCAACAAAGTCGTATAAATAAAAGATTTCATTTTTATAAAATAAATACGAAATGCAAATTAAAAAAAAAAGATAAATTCCCGCCTTTTAACGTAGTTCAAAAAAAGAAGTAGCAAAATCATAGAAAAACATAACGAAATTCCAGATGTCTCGACAAAAACGTTTATTTGTGACACATTATCTAACTTAATATCTCTGTACATACAATGAACAATAGAAAATTAATTTTTATGAAAATAGTATGTGTTATAAATCCCCCCCCCAAAGGTACAAGTTTAGTTTTCTAGTACATCCTTACCCTCCCAACCTTACTTTCTAAAAGGGGAAAAAAAATGTAGGAGAAAACTTATTGGATTATTGCATTATTTTTCCTTTTTTTCTATTATGAATGCGCGAAAATAAAACATCCATATTTCTCGCATTTTGCTATGGGTGAATCTTTCCATATTACAGTACTGAGAACAAAGGAGGTAACAAATGCCTGTCGACTGTGTGACAGTGATTTGCTCCATCGCTGATGCAACGACCGGCACTATATTGTATTTCGTTCTTTCTGCCAAGCTGTGCCCGTTCGTTCTCGCGAAAACATGCCGCGTTGCTTGATCAAATCGATGACAAGGTACAGGAAGACCGGTAATTCTTCCGAAGGTAAGACACATTTCTTTACTGCACAGTAAAAGGTACAGTGTGCCCAGGGACGACAGTGAAATGTTGGCGTGGTTATGAGGAAAAAAAAAGTGTAACGTACAACGTACAACTTCGTTCTCTGTTATTGTTGGAAGAAGTGAATCGCATATTTTTACCCTCGAATCGTAGATCCTTGCTTACCCTGACATTCGTTAACTATAATTAAATACAACTCGATCGTGTAACAATCATGCGAAAAGAAAAGAGAAAAAAAAAACAATTTTTTTTATTGTTCACGTATCAACAGAGGTAGCAGAATTACCATGGACTCCGCCGTCATCGATCGACGCCAAGAAAAAACAACAGACCAAAGAACAGAACTCCACGAACTGTACTAATATTTGGACTTCGTCGAGATTGCCGATCGTAACGAGATACACGTTTAATAAAGAGAACAATATACTATGGAACAATGAATTGAACGTAGGGGAGGTAGAATTAGGTGTGAAAAATGTTTGCAAAACTGAGAACGCGATACCATTCACTGCTGCAAATATTCCTGTTAACGTTAATCAGACAATGGTGAATGCGAGTAACGAACAAAAGGTAGAGAAGGTGCAGCTACCATTGTCGTCGAACGCTAACAAATTAGACTATCAAGTGAACGTGGATAACAATGAGATTAAGTTGGCAGTAAATTTGAATAGAACGTTTGACGGGACCGAGAACCAAACGACTTCGCAAACGATGTACTTGGCATCGAACAAGAAACAGATCGATTCCCAGGGACAGTATTTCGATGGAAATGTTAAATCCGTGGTAGAGAACCCGCAGAACTGGAAACGAAACAAAACTATGCACTATTGTCCGTATTGTCGTAAAAGTTTCGATCGTCCGTGGGTGCTTAAGGGTCACCTACGTCTTCATACCGGCGAACGACCTTTTGAGTGTCCAGTCTGCCATAAATCATTCGCAGATCGGTACATATTTTATTTCTATTCTCGTCTGATATTTCATTTTGTCGATGCATTACCTTCCTTAACGCGAATTAGGAGTAATCAATAATTATGAGAAATTTTTCTGACATTTTATTGTTGTTAAATCGATAGGACAAAATGTTTCATTGAAAAATTTACGACGAAAGAGCAAATGATTAAGTATTGTGATCACATGATCTCATACGTAAATGTGTTAATTCGTGTATTTTTTCATTGATTTTTTTGATGGCATTTCGTTAGTTTATTTATTTTTGGATAAATTATGGAATAATTTTGATAGAATTATTTATATTGTTTGATAAATTTGTGACCATGGTGTAACGTATACATTTTGTAGATCGAATTTACGTGCACATCAAAGGACACGAAATCACCATCAATGGCAATGGCGATGCGGAGAATGTTTCAAAGCATTCTCGCAAAGACGATATCTGGAACGGCATTGCCCTGAAGCTTGTAGGAAATATAGAATATCTCAAAGGAGGGAGTAGAACTATATTTAGAAGACGAATTTTATTTCTTTAATATATACATATCTGTATACAGAAATGGGTAATGTAATATATATTCGTCATTTCACACTGTAAAATTCGAATTCGAAATATCACTGTATTCTTGTTCTAATACAAATATACACATACACTTCTCACTTTTATGTCATTTGCTTTGTGTGGAATTCATAAATTTCGATCGATAAAAACGTTAACTTGAGGCAAATTCATATGTCTCTTTTCATACAGGTAATAACAGTTTTAATCACTACCAAAGGAAGCAACATTTGAGTCATAGAAAAGATAAAGTATTGAAATAAAATACAAATCGCCATTGGATTTTTATTTACTAATCACATCCTGTGGAAAAGAAAATCATAGCAAAAGATATTAATATTACATTAATTTTTTTCTTCACATTTCTCGCTTAAATGACAACAGCATTAATAAATTATTCCATATAACGGTAAATGGGCCAAAGATGGTTCCAGTAAATTTGACAAAATTTAGGAACGCGCCTTAAAGTTTTGGTTTCGTCACGCAATTAGACGTTGCTATCCATAGAGTGCGCGCAACCATGTAACGGTTTCTGATCTGGGTGTTTTTACTCTTTCATGGCGCATGTCGTGTACGTTCAACGAGGAATAATTATCGCTCGCATTTGACGCAGTGCGTTAGTCTCATATTACAAACGGAAAAGAACGTAATATAGTGCCGCGTATTACGCGATACGCTTTCCGAGCAAGTAATCCGTGTTAGTGCTCCGTAAGAAAGAACGCGGCGGTTAAGCACTGCAAAGAAAACTTGACATTGGAACGGCCATTTTGGCGTGTTGTTTCCTAATCGAGTGCTCAGCTCAGCATCGATATCCATCCATTTCAAGGTAAGTGGCTTTGTAGTTGTGGACACTTCGTTCAACGAATGATCTCACGTTTGAGAGATTTTCAATTTTCGTTCAGTCGTGTACATTTATCCAAAAAGATTTTTGACCCGTTCTGTAGAGAGTAAAATTGACTTTGCACAGATGGTTTTACTCAGTGCGCTGCTTTTCATTTTGTTCTCGCGAGTATGTCTGATGGTAGTACCGCGGAGTGTTACAATCGACTAATAAAATCAGCCTTAAATAGTATGTTGGAAAATCTGCTGCATAACTAGAACGTGACTAACATTAATTAAAGAACGGAAAACTTTTGTGTTGGCTGTACGTATGCATAATATTCAAAAATGTTACCAATATCTTAAGCCAACTTTCCAAATAAGCAAGTTACTCACATTTTCCCCATAAATTTTGTTTTATTTATTGCAAAAGCGATATTTTATATTATAAATGTTAAAAGTTACATAAAGATTATGAAATATACTGCAATTATTGCAATATATACTAATTACTTTATTAATTATTGCATTATAATTTAAAAAAGAATTTTTTTTAGAATGTTGAAAATTTTCATTTGCAATTTTATAGGCTTCAAAATTCAAATTTTTTTTATGAACAGTGTCAGTAACCAATAATATTAAACTCTTGAACTTTCTTGTAAACTTCAAATGTATAAAAACTAATACTGTTCCAATGAGGGTACCTATAATGTTTACATCCTATTGTAATCTTTCCAATAGGTCACTTATATTGCTATTGCCTTTTGTCCTACAGACATATAACAGTTCCATGTGTACCTTATTCTTGCAAATTTAACTTTCCAATTTCTTATAGTTATTTACTATTCATTTTCTTATTGTTAAGTAAATCACTTATTTGACTACATTAAATTAATTATATTTTTATTCTGCAAATAAATATTTAGACAAATTTCAAAATTATATTAATTTCTTTGATTCCATTAAAATCAACATTTTATTTATAAATAAATTATTTTTAGGAGATAGATAATATTTCATCATTTCCAAAATGATGACAGAAACACATATAAATTCCAATCATGTCCTAAATTCTGGTTTGAATACCAAATCAGAAATAGAAAAAATGGACGATGTAGGTTGGAAAGCCAAATTAAAAATTCCACCAAAGGACAAAAGAATTAAAACTAGTGTAAGTTATATGTTCAAGTTGCTGAACCTGTTTCTTATAAATAGTTTGTCTATATAAAATATAATTCTATAAATTCAATTATTTTTTCTTATTTATATTTGCTTTAAAATTAATTATTGAAAAGCTTTATGAATTTTTAGGATGTTACTGATACTCGTGGCAATGAGTTTGAGGAGTTTTGCCTGAAACGAGAATTATTGATGGGAATTTTTGAAAAAGGCTGGGAAAAGCCTTCCCCAATTCAAGAAGCCAGCATTCCAATTGCATTGTCTGGCAAAGATATCTTGGCCCGTGCAAAGAATGGGACTGGTAAAACTGGGGCCTACTCAATTCCAGTGCTAGAACAGGTATGTGTATTATTATTTCTTGCAAATTCAATTGTCAAAACTCAATGTAAATACATTTATTTTAATTATTCTAATTTTGGTATTGCAATATATTATTTTAGGTGGATCCGCGACAAGATGTGATCCAGGCATTGGTAATTGTACCCACTAGAGAGCTAGCTCTTCAAACATCACAAATCTGCATTGAACTGGCAAAACACATGGACATAAAAGTAATGGTAACTACTGGAGGAACAGACTTACGGGATGACATTATGAGGATTTATCAGAAAGGTTTGTATGGAAAGCATCTGTTTATATAAGAACTAATTATAACAATCGAGTTTTAAAAATAGTTTACTTATGATGTAATTCGTTTCTAGTGCACGTAATAATAGCAACGCCAGGAAGGATTCTTGACCTTATGGACAAGAGTGTTGCAAATATGGATCATTGTAAAATTCTAGTTTTGGATGAAGCAGATAAGCTTCTATCACAAGATTTTAAAGGAATGTTGGATCATGTCATTTCTAGGTATATACTGTAGTGAATGATTATAAAAATTAAAATATCTTTTTATCTCATATAGATTGTATTGTTAATTGTGTTTTTATTCTTTTTTTTTCTTTAGATTACCACACGAGCGTCAAATACTGCTGTATTCAGCTACATTTCCCCTGACAGTGAAACAATTCATGGAAAAACACTTACGAGATCCGTACGAGATTAATTTAATGGAAGAACTCACATTGAAGGGTGTAACACAATATTATGCCTTTGAATTCTTGTTTTTCAAGTTGCAAATAACACAAAGTATAATCTTCTGCAATTCAACGCAACGTGTTGAATTACTCGCGAAAAAAATAACAGATCTTGGATATTGCTGTTATTACATTCACGCGAAGATGGCGCAGGCACACCGAAATCGCGTGTTTCATGATTTCCGAGCAGGGCTATGCAGAAACCTGGTAAGTACACATGTAACAATATAATGAAATAAATTTTTAAATATTTGAATTATATGTGTTTATCTATTCCTATAATTTGATGTTTTCTAAATAAAAAAAAGTATACAAATTTTGTTATATTTTATAATAAAATGTATGACTTGTGTATCTACAGGTGAGCAGTGATCTGTTTACTCGTGGTATTGACGTTCAAGCTGTGAATGTCGTGATCAATTTTGACTTTCCAAAAATGGCAGAGACATACCTTCATCGTATCGGCCGATCAGGACGATTCGGTCATTTAGGTATAGCAATTAACCTAATCACATACGAGGACCGTTTCAACTTACATCGTATCGAACAAGAGCTTGGAACAGAAATTAAACCTATCCCAAAGGTAATAGACCCAAGTTTGTATGTAGCAAGACCGGAAGACAATAATAGTATGGAAGAGGCTAATGTGTCCAAGTAGTTTCGATACATCGTCATGATGTTTTACATGCGCTCAAAGAGTTTAAAGTGTAAAATGGTGATTGTGTGACTCGTACATGTAAGGCATACATTGCTATGCTTTGTACTCACAGAGTGAAATGTTACTTCAGTCTGAAAAGTATTGTCTGGTGTGTTTAACAGTGTATAAAGACAAAACAGTGCTATGAACATTTAGATAAAAAAGTGGTCTATATAGAAAAAAATTGAAAATTTCAATTAACATCATAGTAAAACAGCGAAAACATGAATTACTTGTAAATAAGACATACTGAGCATGAAACAGTGAACTCAGTGAATGAAGTGATGCGAATGCCGGTGCGAGTCATTCTTTGTACATAAATACATATAAATGTACATAATCTAAAGTGCGCGCCAGAGTCAAGCCATTATCAAGAGCACAACATGTAAACAAATAACATGATTAACATAATAATCATTACATTTTACCACAATCTGTAAATATTACATGAGAGTAACCATCATTTTAATAGTAAATTTTTATACAATGGCTTCATACTTCCAAGATCTTCTTCTTTTCGTTCTTTAAGGGAAAATGTGATGGCATATGCGGTTTAAAGAGAAAAACAGCATAACGAAAATAAACTCGGATTAAAATGCTGTTTGTAAGTATCTAAATACTGTAAACTAATCCATATGCCCATTACTTTTGCATCACCATACCTTACGTATGAATTCTCCTTAAATATACGATCACAAATTCTAAATATTGTATCGATCTTAATGTTTGATCATGGCTTGATTTTGCTACCTGTCAATGCTGTCATACAACTCTGAAATTCAAATCACTTTTCAAAATAGGCAAGATCATCTTTTCTTTCTGTAAAGCAGTAAGAAACTTTTTTTTAACTTAATCTGATTTTTTTTTATGAAATTGTGATTGAGCGTCAGAGGTTGTAAAATTGACTAGTTTTATATAATTATTTTTTATAAATAACTGGCTGGTGGCATTTGTCAAAGTTAGGGATTCCATGTATGATTTCTATTGAAATATTTATGTGTCTACCAATAATTCAAAAATCGATTCCTCTATTAACGTACGAGTAATGAAATTATCTAGCAAAGATTCTTTGTTACTCTTTAAGACACATTTTAGGTAAAAATCTACGAACGTAAACAAAAGTGTACATAATATAGCATAACAATAATATATCATTTTTTCGCGACAGA